AGCTCTTTCATTTTCTTGCCCTCATCTTCATCTCTTTCTGAGTGATGTGGAGCAGAAATAGTTGGGCCACCCCCAACATTATTAAGCGGTGCAATTGAATCACCCCCAATATTGTTATTGGGAGGATCTGTTGGACCACCCCCAGTGTTATTATCATTGGGAGGTGTATCAGCCATAATAACTTCATCCACTTCTAGATCACTGTCATCTACAACATTCTGAGTGTGGCGGCTGGATTCAGCTCGCTGACTGGACTCAGGAGGTTGAGGCCGTTGAGTTAGCAATTCTCTCATTTGTTGGATAGCTAACTCTATCTCTGTCTTCATCTCAGCTCTAATTTCTTCACGTTGTTTGGCTAGAGCTTCTTGAAATATTTGAGCGAACTGATCAGAGGTGACTGTGAGTACTTCTCTGGTTTGCCCTGTGCTAGATACTGTATCATCCAAAGCAATCGCAGAACAAGTGTCCGAGAGCTCGTCCTCTGATGACTTTCCTTCATGCATTCTCTTATAGTCCCTATGTCTGATGGCTCTTAACTGGAGTCGGGACATCCGTTTGGCAATTCTTGAATTGACTTTTCCTCTCGGGGAAAAGTCGGGATTTGATTCACTTGAATGCCATTTAGATTTTCCTTTATAAGCCATGTTGATGGTGACTTCAGGGAATTCGTCGTCTTGGACAGTTGATCTTCTCTTGCGGAAATGTCTCGGGTTAGGCTTCGACATTTCGGTGAAAAGACTGTGGAATACCGAGACTCTTCGTGGGATGGCTTCTCATTTTGTGTAGTCACATTCCGACTGTACTGCTCTAATGAGTCGCATACAGAAACAATGAGAGCTCATTTCTCGGACAATCCTCTTTCGCGTTTTGTTCACAACCCCAGCTTGATAGTACGATTCATCGGTATGATTGCCGAAAAATCCTATCGTCTGTTGGTATGACCTCCCAAGAATAACGATGTCTTTTGGCTAACACGTCTTCTTCTGGGGGTGTAAAGTCTTGTTGGCATTTGCATGACGCTTTTGTATACGTTCTTTGAGGGTTGAGCGAGCCCTCTTGACAAAAGTCCATTCATCCGTCGTTAGCTTAGCAGAGATATGAGTTATTGGTCGTTGAGACAACTGAACCACTCGATGCCTCCTCGACTCTAGGTCCGCGTGATAGCGATCCCCGTCGGTTTGTTCCAAGGCCTTAGCTATTTGGCGAGCGCGGCGCTGACGTTGTCTCTGACGAGCCCTCTTCGTCAGTGCCGATGGGCTTTGATTCGATGGCTCTTTAACTAGATAAGAGTCATCGCGAGCAGAGATGTTGACAGTAGAATCCTCAGCAACAATCAGGCGAGAGTCTGAATTTTGTACCTTCTTTAGCATGTAAGTCTTCTTCAATGTTGAGGTCCTCTTGTACTTGCGATACAATGAAGATCTTGAAGAGGATGATGAGAGATATTCCTCAAACTTGGTTTGGTCGAACTCGTATTCGACCGTGGATTCAACTGGAATCTTGATCGGCTGCGACACGACGGTCTCGGTATCGAGACCGTTGGCTCCCACTGTGGTCGCCAGCTTGTTTGCGTCAAAAGTTATTCTCGTTGTGGAATTCATTATATCTTCGGTCGATTACAATAAATTCAAAAGAAATAGCCTTTTTATAAGACTTCTTTTACACAACAAAATGAAAATTATAACTTTTTAGAAACAAACACAGGATCGTTGTTTGGATCGCTGCTTGCGTGGGATCTTTGCCTGTGCCGGGAGTGCTTTGACTCGTGGACCACCAAATCACAGATTCTGATTGAATCGTGAGGGGTTTAGTGATTCTTCCTTCGTTTATCGAAGTAGAAATTTGAAATGAAGATCTTATCAAAGTAAGACGATCACTCTTCTTAAGATCAAATCTAAGCTCGAATCTCAAGGAATTGCCAGAAGCTCCAGTACTCTTCTCTCTCTGCTCCAAAATCAGCCTCGCGATCCGCCCCTCTCAAAAATGATCTCAGGGGGTATTTATAGCCCCTAGGATGAACAATGCTTCCGAGACAGTGTTTGCTGTCTCGGCGGCCGAGACAGCAAAGACTGTCTCGGGTTCCGAGACAGCAAAGACTGTCTCGGGTTCTGAGACAGTAAACACTGTCTTGGGTTCCGAGACAGTAAATACTGTCTCGGAAATCCTCAACCGCCTAGCAGTTTTCTTGTAACTTCCTTCCCACGTTTTACAACTCCGTTATTTTGGCAATTATCAACGTGATTCTCGCCCACGACGTTTCCCACGTTCTTGAACAGTTTGTTCTTTGGCAGTTAATGGCCACGTGTCGGCGGTTTATAAAACAGTTTCTGAGCCTTCGAGAACTGTCTCGCTCTGCGAGACAGTAAACACTGTCTCGCTCTGTGAGACAGTGAACATTATCTCGCACGGCGAGACAGTAAGGACTGTCTCGCACGGCGAGACAGTAAAGACTGTCTCGCATGCGAGACGGTAAAGACTATCTCGCGTGCGAGACAGCCCATACTTGTGTTCTTCTGACTTTTTTGGATGATCTCCTTTTTGAGCTGTATTTGGATATCTTTCAGCATTTTTTGACGCCTACAGGTGTTATATGGTTGTTTACTTGGTTTACTTACTATTCTCTTGTTTCTTCAGTAAGTTGTATCTTTGAGTTGATATATATATTATTAACGTAATTTATGATGACATGCATATCTCCTCTATAAATTTGAGACAGATATAAGGTGAATTTTATATTTAGTAGCGTTTAATAAGAATTTTAGTAATGAAATATATTACCTTCATATTTAGAGATCTTGGAATCTATTAGTGCTATTACATCATTATCTTTGATCATGTCTTTAAGAATTGATCATTCGTTAGTAGTCATACCCCTAAATAAAGTCACACGCAGGGTTGTGATACCATATAAGAAAAAAAGCGATTTTATATTTTTTTTGCTTACGCAGAGTCATGATATAGTAATTTTTCTTTTATCTCCCATGAAGAATGTTTTTTGATTGGAACAAAGTAGTTCAATATATTCTTCATAGGGGATTCAGCCGGTGCTTCTTTGATAAGTATAACTTATGTTAGTGTTAATTGAAGTGATTCATGGACATTCTAAATTCTATTTCAAATCAAAGCTGCTTGATTCTTTTGAAGGATCTCTCTAAATTTTCTGATAGTTCTCCACACATAAATCTTTGTATTTTTTCCCTATAAATATTATTACCATTAGAGATCAATACTTATAAATTATAATCAATTAATGTTAACTTATTATATTATAGCCTTTTATTAGTTTTTTGCGATTTAGTCTTCTATTAACTAATGACACTTATGTATTTTTGCTGCTCTAACATATTGATAAAATTATATGCAGTTACTTTAATTTATACAATAACATTAATTTTTAATCTATCATATATTTTTAAAAATTTTATTCTTTGACTAGATATTTTTAATCTGCTATTATTGCTATTTTTTACCAGCATCAACTTGACTTTTTTTATCTTATTAATTTATTTGGTTTTTACATATACGTTCTTTATTTTGTAGACATTTCTAAATTTAGCATTTAATAATTTTATTTAGATTTATATTTCAATTTAAACTGTATCCTTATCTTCATACTATATATATCCAATAAGAATTCATCAATTTATCAACTTAATTTTACTTAATGGATTAATATTTGAATTTCAAGGGTATTTTTGTCTACTGAAAGATTTTCCCGAACTCATGCTTTTAAAGAGAGTATGATACACATGTATAGAAACCAAAACATGGCGATTACTTAATTTATAGGTGAATTCTCAAAGTGCTCGTCCTGCCTTACCTCCTTATCCTTCTACTGATTCACACCCTTTCACTTGTCATACTCCACTTTCTCATCCTTCTTTTTGTACAGTGCCTTTTGCTTGTCCTGCTTCAACTACTCACACTTCTCCTTCTAGTGCTCAAGGTTTACCTCAGGAGGGTATTGTGAAGATGTTTTGCGGACTCGAGGCGTTTCGGCTTCTTCGAGGAGGATATTCTCTGGGGAATTTCTATAGTTACTCGACCATATTAGACCAGTCTTGTTATATTTTGGATGCTACAGACATTTTGGATATTAGACACATATTATATGCATTTTCTATTTGTCATATATATATATATGAGACTAACGGAGATTATTTTTTTTCTCTTCATATGTGTTTTAACTTGGCTATTTCTATTGGTTGAATGAGTCCGATGACATATATTATTGCTTTATTATTTTATTGTGAGATTTTGAATTATGTCATTGCATGAGATGTATTTTTTGAATTGTACTGGTAGCCAAGCAAATCAGGAAAATTCCTAAATAAATAAATAAATAACCTTGCCCAAATGGTTTTCACCATTTTGATTGTGCTTTGAACAAGAATCTGCCAAAACAGTTTTAACTGTTTGGGGCAGGGTTTGCCAAACAGTTTCACCCGTTTAGGCTGCCTACGTTTGTAGTACTACATACCTATGATGTGTCATTTTTGATAGATGGGGAGAAGTAGTTAATTCGCAGATACAATTTTGAAGGCAGGTAAATTTTGTTGGTTTGAATTGTACAGTTGCCTACTCGGTTAAAATTTTCTCGTTTTGCATGAGAAATTGCATGTTAATTTTAAATGTATATTCTAGTTAAAAAAACCTTTAGGACTGTTTACCTATCTTCTAGTATAACTTATGATTTTCAGGTATAAATGTGAAGTATCAGGACCTAACTTTGGAAGTGATGAAGTCCAAACCAACTCGGATTATAAAAAAGTTAGGATTTGGGCTACTTTCGATAAAAATCAGCCTAATTCTCCCTCATTTGTAGCATCTATGGTTATAAAGCAAATTCTATCGAAATTCTATAACAGATTATCTCTTTTTGTCTACATCATGATTGTGAGAAACCAAAACAACCGGCCAAACTCAGCCTAAATAAACTCTTCCCATTGCTATAACTACAACGTCTTACTACTGCATTTCCCCAAAATAACATAAAAATACATAATCATGAGTTTCATCGACGGACGAATCGATGGAGAGAAAATCTTCGAAGGGAGGGTGTTCCCTAAGATACTTCTCCCATCAAAAGCATGCGAAGGAAATCTTATTGAAATAGTGAAGACAGAGAGGGAAAAGCTTGAGAAGATGTTAAAAGAGCACGGAGCCATTCTCTTTAGAGGATTCGATGTAAGATCAGCAGAGGATTTCTCAAGCGTTGTGGAAGCATTCGGGCACGAGGAGTTCCCATACCAAGGACCTGCTGACAGGACAAAGTTGGCAGATAGGGTTTACACTACTAATGCGGTGCCTTTGGATGTCATGATTAGCTTCCACCATGAAATGGCAATGGTATGTGTGTTCATAAAACAGGGCATGAAGAAAGCCATGCATCACGTTTTTAAGTACAAACCTAGATAATAACACAAAAAAAGAAAATCCATTTATATGTCCCTCTATAGAAAATCATAAAGGACAAAACATTCAAATTTTTTTTTTTGTCAAGGAAATAATTTTTTCATTAAAGCTGAACATTTAGGTCCATCAAGGGCCCAAGCATCCCTATAGGATTAAAGAAATCAAGTCCTAAGATTTAAAAAATATGCATCCAGTGTTAGAATATAAAATGCTAATCCTCAATTCTTACCGTAACTTCGGGATTTTAATGCAATTAATATTAGGGACTTTACAGATTATAAAAAAAAATTGCTACCGCTTCATGAACCAAGGATTTCATTCATTACAAGGGCGTTCAATTTGCGAAAGCATGTTGGGATATAAAACTTTAATCCTCAGTCCTCACTATAACTAGTTCGGTGTTTTGCAGCAATGGCAAAGACTTTAAGATCCATGACCTGTATTCTATAGATACAATGAATGGATATACACAACATAAGACCAAAATTATGATACATCTAATCACACTCTCTGGAGCTCCCTACACACAATTTCTCTCCTGCCAAAGCATATAGACTATAGAATCAAATGCTGATCTTTTGACCATTTTGTCAAAAGAACCCCTGTAAGTTTACGACCCATAATTAAGAACACAGCTCTATCACAATTCCGTCACCTGAACTCCAACCATAGCGTAATTACTTTCGAAATATTTGCAGCAGAAGGCAAGAAAATAACAGATGAAGTTGGTAATTACAGTGGTATTCTACTATTTGTACCGGTTGCCTATGTTGTTTGCACCGATATTTTGAGTATTATCTGCACTCATTTAAAATTATTCGTGCACTATATTTTTCGTTCTAATTCCTTTACGTATGATTTTTCACAAAAGCCAGCTTTCGTCTGCGTGAAGAGAATCAAAATCCATACCAAAATCACAATTGTAGGTACAGTTTCAAGGAGTCTAGCTATCATGTACGTCCAAAACAATATATAGGCGCTTACCTTTTAAGGTAATCAGACAGGTATAAACTTTGGCCGGAACTTATGATGACGGAGAATCCAATCTCTACATGACATTAAAAATATTTGATAACTCTCAACTATTATTCGGTAACATTTTTAGGCATTACCAAATTTTCTGGCGTGCGTCAACATCTCAAATATGTGATCCTAGCAAATAAAACTTCCCGTTCTCTCCCAGTGTAAAATCATATTTAATTAGTTCAGGTAAAAATATGTGAATATATCCTAAAAGTAACGCATAAATACCTTGCGCACAAAAAAAAAGGTTTTGTCATACTATACACTCAAATCTTTGTCAACTATAGCGTGAAATCTTCGTATTTCTAATATCAGTCTTCACGTCTTCATATTTGTTCGGAATAGGCAGGGTCTTAATTAGTTAAAAGGAACTTTAAATGTATGTCTGATGGAATTTGAACCTGGATTGTGGTAATACCATCTTAAAGTTCTTTCCATGATACAAAAACTTTGTAATTGTGGTGATAGTTGAGGAATAGTTTTATACTCTAGCAAATCCGTATTTGGAAGTAGTGTGGTGAGACACTTGAACTAGCATTGTTATCTGGGGATTGATCAAGCGAAAAACATCAATAATTACCACATTCTCTAGATGGATCAGTACACTTCGGTTAGAATCAAACACATTAGTAGCTCCTCTAGTACCATCTTATAGTCATTTCCTATACACCAATATTCTGAAGTGTATTGATGATTGAGGGTTATAGTTCTATATACTTTCATCGCTAACGCATACTATTATGTTAGTAGACAACTCGTTGTATATAATTTTAATCACAATTAATAAAAATTTAATGATGATCTTGTAACTAAAAACTAAGTAGAGATTCTTAAATTCCTTAACATATCCTTCCCCAACATCTGGTCTAATAAATTCGTGGATTTATAATTTTGATCTACGCTTAGACATAATAATAAATTTATCATACATAGAGATGGAAACACTTCAGAATGGATTTTCCAGAGGGAAATTTATACTTTTCGTTGGCCTATTGTAACATACAGACAAAATTTTGGTCAACTGCCGAATTTTTTCATATGGGATGGATTTTTACTTTCAGTAGTGTGTATATATAGCCTAAGCATAATCGTGATTAATTCTATTTTGTTGTAGATAAAAGAATTTCCTCGCAGGATCATGTTTTTCTGTATGCAACCATCACCAGAAGGTGGGGAGACTTCGATAATCCCAAGCAATATTATCGTCGAGAAGATGGAGGAAGCATTACCACAAGTTGTGGAAAAATTTGTAGAAGGAGGGATATTTTTCGTCCTTCACACAAAAGCTACATACAACAAAAATGGTAGAGTTGTTTGGCAACGTATGCTCAAAACCACAGATAAAATACAGGGAGAGAAGAGGTAAATACATATGTAGTTCAATTATCAAGTAGCAAGTTTTGGCCACTTTGATTTGGTATTGATTCACATCAACAAGTTGTCTCCATAAATTGCATATATAGATATGCTAGAGAATTTGGTAGTCTTCTATAAGAGTTATGTGGGTATTTAGCTGATCGAGCTTGTAACACGCCTCAAAGCAGATACATAGTCTCTACCTAGCACAAGTTGAAAGGGACCACAATTTGGTCTCGGCTAGTCCCTTGAGCTATTAATTAGTACCTTAAAAGAAACCATATGAAACAAAACCTAACTTTATAAGGTTGTGCTTCACGCATGTGTATGTGTGCACGCGCACACACACATACATACATGCAGATACATCATCGTCTTCAAGTAAAGAATATCGTACAACTAAGTTATAATTATATTTATTAATTGCAGTGAAACAAACAACTGTGATTGACTCAAAACTCCTAATTACATGTAACTGCACTTGCACTCCTTTTAATACAAACGAACCAAACCACCAGTTAAAAGGAGTCCCTACCTACTACTTGATCACAACTGACTAGAATCTTACGCATTGATTGTTTCATAGAGCAAAGGAAATGCTATCATGCAACACAGTAAAGTTCAACAGTGATGGAACCGCAGATTTCACATTTGGACCAATGAATCCGGTGAGGGAGTTCAACGGAAAGAGGGTGATGTTTAACCGGATACTCGGATACAATACCGGAGAAAGGGATGCATATGTTGCCTTCAAAGATGGAAGACCTATTCCATTGGAAGCCACAAAAGTGATAGAGAGGATATATGAGGATAATTGTGTGGATATATCTTGGGAGAAAGGAGATGTTTTGTTGGTGGATAACCTAACAGTTCAACATGCAAGGCGGCCGGGGAAGCACCCTAGGATAGTTTTGGTATCTCTCTCCGATTAAACCTATAATTATATGTAAATGTAATTGATTATATTCATGTACATTTATGTAAACATTCATCTATTACGTAAACGCATAGACAATATTTAAGTAACGTAATAAGACTTGAGCATTTATTCTTGGAAGAATTCATCTGCATAATGTGAAAGAAAAGGAAACAAAGATGATTATGCATGGTCCATGAACAACTTTTTCTTATTACATAGATCTTTGTGAAGTAAACATCTTCTCGTAGAAATAGTAGTCAGAGAGGATTAATTTGTCCCTCTCCTCTAAAGTTTTATTAATAGTATTATAATTCCAAAGTAAGTTGACTCTAACCAATGTGGGACTAATCTAAATATAGAAAACTAACTAAATAGAGGAAGGACTCTCAACACTCACCCTCAAGATGAGCATATATATCATACATGCCCAGCTTGTCACAAATAAAATTCACTCATACTCTTGCAAGAGGTTTTGTAAGAATATCTGCAAGTTGATGCTCTGAAGGGATATGTTTGGCTCTAATATTCCCTTTCTCCATTTTCTTACGAATCAAGTGACAATCAATCTCTATGTGTTTTGTCTTCTCATGAAACACTGGAATTCTCAGCTATGTAAATGACAGCCTTATTGTCTCCATAAAAGCTCATTGGACATTTAGGAGGAAAACTAATTTCTATCAATATATCTAACCCAGATAAGCTCACAGGTTAGTTTCGTCATGATTCGATACTCGGACATAGTTATAGATTGAGAAACTACACTTTTCTTTTTACCCTTTCATGAAACTAGATCTCCTCCAAAAATACACAATATCCTATAGTTGTTCTTCTGTCAGCTGGAGATCTTATACTCAATCTGCATTTGAGAAACATACAACTCTTTTGTGCCTACTATCTAAATAGAGAACTCCCTTGCCTAAACTTTTCTTAAGATATTTAAGAATCCTTTGCACAACATCTATGTGGGATATCCTGGGTGCTGATAGAAACTGACAGACTACACTAATAGAAAATATAATATCTTGTCTAGTAACTATCAAGTAGTTCAGCTTTCTTATCAATCTCCTATATTTCTCAACATCTTTCAATGACTCCCCCTAATTTGGTAGAAATTTGATCTTATCATCCATATATAAGACAATACCCTTGCATTCTAACATCCCAACATTTGTCAATATGTTAAGCACATATTCTCTCTAAGACAGAAGAATTCTCTTCTTTGATCTAGCCACCACTATACCTAGAAAATACTTTAGGGGACTAAGATCCTTGGTCTGGAACTATTGTTGCAAATATTTCTTTAAGTCTCTGATGTCTCATACATCATCTCCAGTGATCACAATGTCATCAACATATACAAGTAAAAGTACTCGCTTCCCACCATGAAATCTCTAGAAAAGAGTGGTCTTTCTGAGTTTGATGAAGACCAAACTGCTGAACTACTATTGCAAAACGTCCAAATCAGGCTCTTAGATATTGTTTCAAGCTATAGACAGTTTTTTCAACTCGCAAACCTTCCCATGCTCCCCTAGAGCAACAAGCCATGGTGGTTGCTTCATCTAAATTTCCTCATCTAGAATGTTATTTAGAAAAAACATTATTAATATCCAGGTGACGGAGTGGCCAGTGATAGTGAGTGGCAAGTAAAATAAGAATATGGACAGACAATATTTTTTGCTATAGGAGAATGTGTTAATGTAATCTAGTCTATATATCTGTGAATAACCATTCGCAACTGGTCGAGCTATATGGTGGGCTAGAGATCCATTTGGATGTACTTTGATTGTGTAAACCCACTTGCATTCAATAGCTTTCTTTACAGGCAGTAGAGGAACAAGATCCCAAGTCTCATGTTGTTCTCATATTGTTCTAATATTATCATCTCTTCTTGAATTGTTGCTGTCCAACCTAGGTTAGATAGTGCTTCAGATATATTCTTGGGAACCAAGTGAAGTTAAGAGAAGATATAAAAGAATGATATGATGATGATGATAGTAAAAGGTAAGAGACATAGTGTGCAAGAGAATATCTAGAAGGACGAGATCTCTTACCATATTGAAGGGCGATTGGAAGATCATCAATAGTGGCAGCACTTAGCTATATTGCAACACTATGGCTAACTTATAAATAGGACCCTTGGTTACAGGAGGACTATGGCATAGATTTCAAAGTAGCACGTTGTGTAGAAACATTGACTGTCTTAGCAAACTTAAATAATGGATCAGCCTGCACATCAAGCTCGGAAGGAGTACTGATAATTGCTTCTCGAAAAAAAATCATAATCATTCTGAGCATGTGAAAGTGTACGATATGCAATATGTTCTGCTTTATTTAAAAAATAGTAACATTGGCAGAAACAATGTGACAGTTTAGAGAAGGACAGTAACACTTGTATCCTTTCTGAGTTCAAGAATACTCAACAAAGATTCCTTGAAGGGATTTTGAATCTAATTTTATCCTTTGATGACTGTGATTGTGAATGAAGCACAAAGAATCAAATATCTTAGGGGGAAATGGAAAAGGGTCACCATCGGGGTATAAAAGAGATACAATGGTTTTGTTCTGTAAAACAGATGATAACATTCTATTAATCAGATAACATGTAGTTAAAATAGCATTGCTCCAAAAATGTTTTGGAGCCTCTCAATGAAACAATAATATTCGAGCAATTTTTAGCAAGTATCTATTTTTGCGGTCAACTGCCCTATTTTGTTGAGGAATGTAAACACAAGATGATTGATGTAAAATTCTATTTTCTTCCAAAAAATTTATGAGTGATTTGTCAAAATATTCTTTGGCATTGTCAATCTTTAAAATTTTAATAGATCGTGAAATTGATTTTTAACTTTAGCACAAAAAACTTTAAAAATAGAAAATACTTTAGAACAAGTTTTCAATAGATAGACCCATGTCAAGTGAGAAAAATCATCCACAAAACTAATAAAACATCCGAAACCAAGTTTTAGCAAAATAGAACAAGAACCCAGAAATCTGATTGCACCAAATCAAATGACACTTTATTGACACGACTAGGATAGCACACTTGCTAATATTTTCCTTGTTAATATGGCTCACAATCTAAAGACTCAACATGACTCAATTTTGAGGTTATTGTTTTGAGAATAGAAAGGGGAGCGTGACCAAACCGATAATGTTGATCAAAGGTCGATGTAGAGTTGTTTTGAGAATAAAAAGTGGAGGGTGACCAAACCGACAATGCTGGTCAAAGGCTAATGTAGAGCTGATACACGCAACTTGGTTTAAAGAGAGGTCCAGTTTATATAGGTCATTCCACTCACATCATGTGCCAATCATCATTCTAAGTGCCTAAAAAATACAATGTGTAGGAAAAAAATGATAACGTACAATTAATACTTTAGTAATCTTACTAATAGACAACAGATTAAATAGAAAGAAAGGAATATATAGCACAGATGAAAGGGGAAAAGTAGCAGTCTCAGCAGAGCTTATTCCTTCCACAGGTGTGTTGGAACCATCAGCTACAGGGAAAAATGAAGTTGTAGGTGTGCAAGAAGACAGGATACCTCAGCTCCCAGTCATATGGTTAGTTGCTTCTGAATCTTCTACCCATGTACGAGACGATGAAGATGTAAGAAAAGTAATAGGGTTACCTGAGTGGGTAAGTGTAGCTGTAGTTGAAGAGGACTACGTCCCTTTAAACTATTGGAATAGCTATAGTTGGACTGCTCAAGCTCATGACAAGTCTAATCATCTAAAGTATTTTCCTGATTAGCTAAATGTGCATTCTAAGGTTTTTTTATACAATTGGGGATAATTAAACTTCATATAACCTAGCTCCTAACAGTAATGACAGCACATAGAGGAATAATCTCCGATGACTCCTCCTGAACTATTTCCTCATCCTCCACATCCTCCAAAGTGTCCCTCATGCCCGCGCTCATCACCATGACCACCACCACGATCTGAGAAGCTACCACCATGGATTCCTATTTTTCTTCCCTAGGATACTAAGGCAGATAGATCAGATGAGGTGACTAGATGTGTAGATGAGATTGTAGGAGTTATCTGTTTCAGGAAGTGATAAGTCTTTACACATGAGGAGATTAATGTACTGCCTAATACATGTGGTCATGCTGAATGATAAATGGGGTGTAGAGTCCTAAGAAGATCAAGACCATCAATTGATCTCATTAATCCTGCATCTACTTCACATCTGATGTAATGGGAAAAATATATCGGACCTCCCCACCTAGTCAATTAAACTCTGCATAATTCCCATCCAATGCAGGTTCCTCTTATTTCATGTGAAGGATCTCCTGAACGAGATCATAAACTATATTCATATATCTTCCTCTTAAATATAACCAGCCTAAGTATGCCCAAAGCTCCTTCACGGTCTGATAATGAAGCACCAGATCTTGAATACGTGGCTCCATAGTATTAATGATTTTTCCAAGAAGTAGAGCATCATGTGCTATCCACTCCTCAGTCATTGGATCCGGAGATCTTCTGTCAATTGTCATGTCTTTTGATGCCCCGCAACAAGAATTTTAATTACCCTCTTTCGCTGTAGGTAATTCTCACCATTCAACTTCCTATTAGGTATTTTGGTAGACATCACCTCTGGAGTGGTCTTCACCTCTGTTTTCACTTCACCAAAGCATTTCTCTACATACTCTACAATATCCCTATGCATGCAGCTCCACCAAAAATGTCTCTTCTGGTCCTTGTACATGTTAATTGTGCCTGAATGCACTGTGTACCTGTGCGATGTGTCTCATCAAATAATTCTTTCTTCAACTGCGCAATATCCGACACCACTAGTCGGCCTTTCATTCGAAGGCCCTCGTCTAATCTGATGGTCCAATTAGCCTTGGGCTCTTTAGAAATCTCCCATTTTCGGGTTTGAATCCAAGAGTCCTCCGCCTGAGTATTGATCACTCTATCGGTCCATGATGGCTGTATGGCTAAAGCTCCCAAAAATGCGCTACTCTCGCCAATCTTCGACCTAAAGTCAAACTAGCTAAGAGTGAGAAGATCTCGATACAACGAGCACCTCAAAGCTGTAAGCCTGTGACGATGCTTCCTACTCAACGTGTCTGATATAATGTTTGCTTTACCCTGATGATACTGCAATGTGAACTCATAATCCTTAATGAACTTGACTCATCGCTGCTGCCTCTGGTTGAGTTCCT